TTAAAGGGGCTAGAGATGACATTCCCTTTTAATTAGCTATATTCATTAAAATGTTGTCATCTTTCATTGCTTTATTTCTCGCTTTATTTCTCGCTTACTTTAAATTGCTTTCTTATTATTGTCTTGCATTTATCCATCCTTAAATTGTTTTTCATTCGATGAAGCATTAACACTTAAGCCAATTTATCGATTGTTTTAAAATCGAAAACCTAATCCCCAAATCCTCATTGATTTCGATGATTAGCGTTTTTATTCATTTGGACCAATGTCCGGAGTCAAATTAGGGTTTTCCGTAAGGTTTTTCATCAAAATAAAAAATGTAAGTGGCGACTCTTTTTTAATGAAAGCAATAAGATTAAATAGGCTTTCACACTGTGAACTCAGCTCGAAATGAGCATTTCGATTCTAATTTTTAGCGGATTGGACAAGGCGCTAGGGTCAGGGCCTCACATAGGGATAATTCTAAACGTGGTCATTTTGCTTTAAAGTTAGACATGAGCAAAGCGTATGATAGAATTGAGTGGGACTTTCTTAGTAGTGTCATGCTTAAATTAGGCTTTTCTCCTTCTTTTGTTTCGTTAATTTTATCTTGTGTTTCTTCAATTTCTTACTCTTTGCTTGTTAATGGTGAACACGATGAGAAACTTTATCCTTTTAAGGTTATCATACAGGAAGACCCTCGTATTTATTTCTGTTTTGTGTTGAGGCTTTTTCCTTATTATTGCATAAAGCTGAAAATACTAATCATTTGCATGGAGTAAAAATTTGTAGGATGGCTCCAAATGTTTCACATTTATTTTTTGTAGATGATGGTATAATTTTTAAAAAGGTAACTCTAACAGAGGCTGCAACAATCAAACAAGTGTTGTGAGACTATGAAGCAGCTTCGGGATAGAGAATTAATTTTGATAAATCAGAGATTGCCTTTAGCAAGCGAGTTGGTGACCGAACCAATGAGGCTTTCGAAAGTGCTTTAGGAGTAAAGGAAATCAACTATCATCAAAAGTATTTGGGATTACCTATAGTTATTGGGAGGCAAAGGAAAGAAATGTTTAGCAATATTATTGATCGTGTTGCCAAAAAATTGAAAGGCTGGAAAAGAAAAACTCTCTCAAAGGCAAGTAAGGAGATTCTTCTAAAGGTCGTTATCTAGGCTATTCCAACATATGCGATGAGCTGCTTCCTACTCCCAAAAGCAATATGCAACCGAATAGAGGCTATGATGGCTTGATTTTGGTAGGGGGCCAAAAATAGGATGAAAGTCATATTCATTTGGCTTATTGGCATTCCATGTAGAAATCTAAAATAAAAAATGGATTGAGTTTTAGGGATCTTCACACTCATAATTTGGCTTTTCCTCACAAAACAATGTTGGAGGTTATGTTTGGCTGATTCTTCTTCATTTTCCAGGTTTTTTCGGGCTAGGTATTTTTCGCGATCATCCTTTCTGGAAGCAAGAAGGGATTTCTGCCTAGTTTTGCATGGAGTAGTCTCCTCCAGGCTTGGTGGATAATTAAGAAAGGAACTCGCTGGTTAATTGGGTTAACGACCTTTAGTAAAAGTGAATTTGAGGCTATGATCATGTTTAGCATTGCCTCGTTTTGCATGCCACCCGATCCGTTTTAGTAAAAGTGAGGCCGGTTCTGTTGCGGGCCCGATAGTGGCATTTTTACCACGTCAGCCTTAAAGGGGGTCACCGCACCCTCAAATGTCTATAAATAGACATTAGGGGGTGAGCCTTAAAGGGAGTATTTTTGGTAGCTTAAGGAAACTCTTGAAATTTCAAAACTCAATCTAAGAAATCAAAGGAAACCATTATTTCTCTTTGTTCTAGATTGTGATCCATTGATTCTTTAATCAAAAAACCCTTGAGCATACACTAGAAATCCCAAAAATACGTCCTTAATCTTCAATCCTGAATCATTGGGTCAATGACTAAGGAGTTGGGTTCTTTCATCCATTGCTACTTAATCTTTAAAGGAATCTCCAAGAGGTAATTTTAAGAACCTTAAACTCGTTTCTCCATCTTTTTCTTTTCCTTTTCGGCCTTTTAAACATCTGTTCTGAGTTTGGTTATGAGGGAATCGAAGAATCAACCACAAAAGGATTTCTGTGCCTTTGTGGCATGCGGCCTAAGCTAGTGGCGCAAGCCACTATGTGTGGCCTGCGCCACATGGGCCCAGATTTCCCTGTTTTTGCCCTGTTCATGCTAGAAGCCTTTCTGATCTGGGAAAGGCCTTGCACTACTACATGTCGTGTTCGCCACATCCTTGTGATGCACGCCACAGCTCCCTACGGCGTAAGGCCCTTCGATTTAGAGGCTCTGAATGTATAAAAATTTAATAAATGTCTCGATTCGGAGATCCAGTGACCTAGCTCCAATCCTGAAGGGTTTAGGTCACGTATTTGGTCATAGATGGATCAAATAAATATTAAAACAATGTTGAGGGATGTGATTGATGAATTTGTTCATCTTCTTGGATGAACATCAAAATCATGAGCTTAAACCTTGATTACTTTTAATTTTTTTGCCCTTTGATTACTATTCTTTACATTACAAGCATTTTACTTTTCTGTCGTTTAATTTCACGTTCTCTAATTTAAAGCTTTATAATTATTATTGTGCTGACCTCTTTAATCATTAATCTTGTACTTCTAATATGCATCATATTTTCATTTTAATAAGTATGTGACTGTAAGTGGTTGGGAATGTTTGTTTTATTACCCGGTTAATATTGTTTGTCTTTATGTAAATGTTGTTTGTTGGGATCTTCCATTTCTTGATGTGTTTAATTAATTATTGTTGCAAAATGTAAGAGATCCTAATGAATCTCATTAAAGCTTGTTTATAATATTAAATTAGGTTTGAAAATTTTGGAGGAGTGAGAGTAGATTGTATTATTAGGATGATTTTGTAACTTTTTTCTCCTCCCTTCTTTGTGTGAATGACATAGTTTTCTAAAAATTACATTAAAATCGTTTTACATCTCAATTAAAAGTTAATCTCATTATTAATTATTATAAATCTTTAGACAACATAGAGGCCGGTTTAACCGGGCGAAATGGGTACTTAATACCTTCCCTTTTCGTACCTAACTCCCGAACCCGTCTCTGATTTAAAACCGGATTAGTCGATTCCTTAGAATCGACTAATTCGATAATTTTCCTAAATAATGGTGGTGACTTCAAAATAAAAATCTTATCAAAGGAAGAGAACCTTTTTTCGAGAATTAAACGGGTTTAATAAAAGAAAACTATTTTACTATATAAAATAAATTAAGCTCGTTCGATTCGGTTCTTTTCAAATCACTTTGAAAAAAAAAACCACGGGTCCTTAATGATCATGGTTGCGGTTTGGGTATGGTGGCTCGAAATGATTAAAGAGAAATTATGGCTTCTTGTTCTAACTTTATGCCTTAATCAAAGCGGGCATTCTCTGGGTTTTACACAGGTGGTGCTGGAGTTGGACAACAAGCTAGTAGTGGATAGTATTTCAACAAATTCTATTTCTGCCAATGAATGGGGTACACAGTTGCTCAACTTGCAAGTTCTTACTATTTCATTTCAAACATTTTCTATAGCCTATGTTCTTAGAGAAGGTAATCGAGTAGCTCATCATTTATCTAATCTAGCTTTTGCTTTAGATCATCAAACTCATATTCGGATTTAGGAGGTTTCGCGTAGTATTTATCCTTTTGTAACGGGCGATTTTGCGTCTGATCCTTTATAAAATTTCGATATTTTCCCTTAAAAAATATTTGAACTTTTTTTAAAAATTAACTTTTACTTTTACTTTCTTGAAATGTTGTATAATTAGCAAAAAATATTAGTTTGTAGTATTATATTCAAAAATACTTGTATGAAAATTTAACTTTAAATCGAAGTTTTGAATTAAAAATCAGGTTATTACAATTACTCTTGATCAAAGTTTACATTATTAATAAAAATTATAATGATAATTATAATAATTTATCAATAAGTTTATTGTTTTTCTTATCTTAAAGAATGTTATTTCTTTCAAATTAATATTATGCTCTTATCTATAAAATAATTTTATTTAATACATTCAACTTTTTTTATTTGTAAAATATGACATGTGTATTAAAAATCACTCTTAAACAAATTTAATTATTATTTAAGACTTTTTGACTATTCATTTTATTTAAAATATTACAATGTTATATTTATTTTAAATTGTTTATTAAAATATTATTATAGTAAAATTTAACTAGTACAATACTTTTTTATTTTAATAAGTTTTACTAACTTTAATATATTATAATTTACTTATATAATCTTATTTTAATATATATAGTCTTATTAAATTTTATTATTTATAAATAATTTTATATAAATAGTGAAAATTATAGTACAATCCATGTAAATTGTGAAATATAATTAGTCCAACCCTGTCTTTCAGAAAATAAACTAGATTGTCTTTATAGTTTACTTCATTTTGTCTAATTTTTGCATCTTTTCTATTAAATGTTTTATGAAATGATGAAAATATCCCTTTTGTTTTTAAAAATACATGAACAAATTAATTATATTTTTCAAACAATAAAGACTGCACTGTAATTTTTTTTAGTATAATATTTTAATATCTCTTTTTTAGCTTTCGTATTTTGTTATTGACTTACCAAAAAAAATAAAAATTAGACCAAAATACCTATTAATATAACAGAAATAAAATATAAAGACAAATTAATATATTTTTTAAAAAATAAAAATATAATAGTCATATTTCGGCAAACCACAAAAATCATACGTAATTTTCCCGTACAAATACGATCCTAGTTAATCTTCCAACGGTTGATCCTCAATTTTCGCCCGGTAAATGAGCGGCCGGATCTAAACATCCTGATAGAGACAAATGCCCTGCAGACTACAGATAGTGCGACTGATTTAATTTTGACTCTACAATGTCGAAATTCAAATATCGCAGATTAAATTTAATATATACTATATTTATTTATTATTTATTTCATATGTGGCAACCAGCGACTGGTGGGGCAACATCGGATCCGTACATTTCCATGGAGAAAGAAAGAAGCCAAAACAGAAAAAATCTGACCCTTCATTGCTTCCATCGCCCCCAATACTCACCGCCAAACACTTCAACCCACTGTTTCTTTTTCCCCTTCCTCTGTTGTTGACCCAATTACAAATTTCTTGCTCTCCAGTCTATACCACAGGAGCCATCAATGGCCGCGTCTCTCTCCATCTCTAGACTTCTCCTCTCTTCTCCCACAGCCGCCACCACAGCCACCACGACCAAATCCCTCCTCTCTTCCATTTCGCTCTCCTCCAGACTCTCTTTCCATTCTCTCCCTCTCAAACACCAATCCAAATCCTTAAAATTTAAAAGATTCTCTACCAAAACAACCACCATTTCCGCCGTCATTTCCGTCGGAGACAAGCTTCCCGACGCCACTCTCTCCTATTTCGACGCCGATGGAGAGCTACAAACCACGACTATCTCTTCTCTCACTTCTGGTAAAAAGGCAATCTTATTTGCCGTTCCTGGAGCTTTCACTCCCACTTGCTCACAGAAACACCTTCCAGGATTCGTGGAGAAATCCGCAGAGCTAAAAGCTAAAGGGGTTGATATGATTGCTTGTATATCTGTTAACGATGCGTTTGTTATGAAAGCTTGGAAAGAGAATTTGGGCATTAAAGATGAGGTGCTGCTTTTATCTGATGGGAATGGAGAATTCACGAAGAAAATTGGGTGTGAATTGGATTTGAGTGATAAGCCGGTGGGATTGGGAGTTAGGTCAAGGAGATATTCTCTTTTGGCCGAGGATGGAGTGATTAAGGTGCTCAATTTGGAAGAAGGTGGAGCTTTTACTTCCAGTGGAGCTGAGGATATCCTCAAAGTGCTTTAATCTTTTGTTGGTGAGATTTTAATGTTTTGATTTTGTTGTGTTTTAGAGTTTGAGGTTTCATATTAATGTAATAAAATGGATCGAACCTGAGTTTAATTTTCGACGAAAGGGAACAGAAATTCCTTGATTTTATATATTGTTGTTGTTGTCTTTCATGGAAGTCTGCTTTCTGCTTGCATTTCCTCTTAATGCATGGATTTTTATTGGATTGTGAAGTAGTTAAATAATGCTTGGATAGTTGTTTGGTCGATTTAAATCCATAGAAATTGATCGAAACGATATGGTTATATAGATATTGCAATTGGAGGGACTCTCTACCTATAATGGTGTTCTGTTTTGTCCTTGTTTATGGGTTTGTTGATGTGATCATGTAAAGCAAGAAAAGAATGGAGAATTCACTGAATTCATCTGCTTGAATGCTGTCAACTTTGAGATCACCAAATAGCAACTAGAAAAAGAAGAAGCAATTATGTTGCCCTTCTTCATCTGTTTTGCTAACATCATAGATTCTGGAATGTGAGTGGCAGAAAACCTCAATAAGAAATATCCATTCTTTATTCCAATCAGCTTTGTCTCAATGTTACTAGACTCGTCTTTAGGGTTGTTAGGTTGCATGTTCAAGCCAGGGTTGGAGCTTAAATAACCAGAAAAAAAGAGTAATATATATATATATATATATATATACACATACCACTTCACAAACTAAATTCGGGACAATTTGAAATTGTTTTCAATACTGTTACTCTTTTGTATGCTTGTTAGACTTATAAACATTCCTCTTTAACATATGCCACTTTCCAAATGAAAGTTTGATTTGCTGGCAAAAGAATGGAATTTGGCTTTCATAATTTGGGGGAATTTACTTACGATTGCCATCTTATGACGGAGAAGCACCAAGTCGGAACAACAGTTGAATTGTTTTACCTGCGAGTCATTATCTTATTTACAGTCTTTTGATGCCTGTGTTTCTACTCAGAGGAACATGGTTTTTTCAAATCATCCAATGTGCTGTATAGAATATTTATTAGTTCAAATTCTGACAATGCATTGTGCGTATAGCTCTTACTTTTTCCTTTGAGAGACAAGAAAAAAGGCATTGAGGAAATGCATGTTGCTGATACTGTTCTTTTGGCCTTTTTGGCCTTTTTATAAGTGCAATGGTATGTCTAATTTTGCATGTGGCTTCTTCCTGTCATTATAGGTTTAGGCTCTGTAATTTTTCCATATTAAGCAAAATAAGTGCTGAAGGATCACTCCAAATGATTAGGTGTTTTAGCTATGTCCCCTAGATCAAGTACATGCAATGATCATTAACAAGTTGTAGACTGCTCCAAGATGTTCAGCTACGCTGTTCTTCACAGAAAAATTCCGTGTTTAATTGCCATATTGGAGCGAGCAAGTTCGTAATATGTACTTTTTTGAGGAGATCAAAGTAGTTATAATGGATCTGCTGTACCTTTTCACAACCAGTTATTTGAGGAAGTAAAAAGAAAGAAGCTGCAAGTTTGACGCCCAAGACCAAAAATATGTGCTCTAGCCTGGGGATGCTCATTTCATCCAACCCATGGAATACCTGCTCGAATTTGAAGGGGTGAATAAAATTGGATCATTTAAAGATCGGGTAACTATGGATTTGGAAATGAGATCTGAACCAAAATTTTTTTCTTTTTGTTTTTTTTTCCATTACACTTTTTTCTAGTTACTTTTTTATATGTTAATAAAATTTTTTGATAACTAATATTTATCGTTTGTAATCTTTTATGAAATGTGTTGAGAACATGTTTTGTTGTTTGTTGTTTGTTAATAAATATTATTACTTGAATTATGTTTCCGTATTTTTTTTTTTATAATGCACAATATATTATACTTATTAAGATAATGATTTTTATTTGCTGAGACCATATTATTAGTATAATGTGTATTGAGATATATCATATGTTTATTAAGAAATAATTATAAATCCAGGATGTGAATACCGGGAGCAACTGAAGCAGCTAGATCCCAATGCTTTGTTAATCGCACACCTTTAGGCTCACTGGAGGAAAAAATCTTGGAACTAACGTACTGATAGAAATTCAACAAGACATTTGGAACAGAGTTACAAACTTGAAAAATAGCTTGGAGATCCGAAGCTCTTGCAAGAGAATGAACCTTCGCATTTGCTTGCCTTCGAATCCACCTAATAGAATATCAGACCTGTTAGCTAATCCTTGATAACCATACAAAGTCAGATAAATATAAAGAGTTGGAACATAAAGCATGAATTACAACTTGTGAATCCAAAAAAACAAAACCCGGACCCATGAAATGATGTTCCAACCATGAAAGGGTTGATTTCGAAGCCATGGCTTCAACCATCTCAGCTGTCGGAATACCTTGAAAACGCCCTGAATTGCATGCCTGGAAAAACCTTCGGAATCTTCTACAACACCACCAAATTATCTCGATATTCCAAACTGGTTAAAGAGTGCCCAATCAACAAAGCAACACCAGCCATCACTCAGCAGGAACGCCATAGCGCAGAACACGAGAATTAGCTTGATGTTGCATGGCTTGATCAGGAACTCACAAATGGCAAGCTGCATGGTAGATACCTCCAACACAGAGCTCCTTTTGTTCCCATACCAACTTGTTTCTCGCATGCCAGATTTTCCATGCGAGTACTACAAAGTTACCCTTCCCTTAGCAAAAGATCTCCAAACATATGAAAAAGAACCTTTAAAAGAAACATCAAAGTTAAGATCTCCAAAACCATAATATCTCCAAACATTTCTTGCTTTATAGCATCCCAACAAAGCATGATTAATATATCTTCATAAAATCCACAATAAACACAGCCCCCATCTATTGGCATTTCTCTAGCAATTAATTTACCTTTTGTTGGCAAAATACCTCCTAATCCTATCTACATAAAATTCGTAATCCTTGATAGATATCTAAATTCCAAACTCCATTCCAAAAATCACCCTCTACCCTATTAACTTCCCTCCCTAAAAATCTTTGGCTTAGGAAATACCTACTTTTCATACTATAGCACCCTTGCCTCTCATAATGCCAAATTTTCCTATCAATCCTATCATGCTTACACAACAGAATGCTAGGGATGGCTCCAATATCTCTAACAGAAAACAATTCAATGACATTTGATGCATCAAATTCCCTCCATCCTTATCAATAGCTCACTTGTTATGTATGGGAAATCCATACATAATGGTCGCCAACCTAAAACACGATTCTTATATCTCCAAAAACAAATCATAACATTATCAAATTGCTTAAAATCAACCAAAGATCTTAGTAAACATTCAAAGAACTAAGAGAAGGAAACTGACCATCTATTCTAATCAAATAGTACAACTCCATAGCTTCATTCCTTCTTAATTTTCTTGATTTCCAATTCATCTTCATTTGCCAAGCTCTTCTAAAAAAAATAATAATAATAATAATAATTAATCCAATTCACTCTCCCCTCTCTTGGGTTGCTATAAGGGAAAACAAGTCTCCTCTTGTTTCTCTATTGCAGCAGCTAAATTGCTCTTGGAGAGCATTCGGTTGATTGTTTCTAGTTTCTCCCAGACTTGGTTTCCTTTAAAACAAGGATAAAGAATATAAGGGTCTTAGAGTAAAAAGGAAAGATATCTAGAAAGCTAGGATTTTACGGTAAGAATATGACAAAGTTACTAGGTCTTTTGTATTTGAAAAGGTAAGGTATATCCATGTGTGGGATATATACATGATTTGAAGGTATCTAGGTGTAACGATCCAAAATCATGGCCGGACCGACACTAGGGTCCAAGTAAGCATAAGACCCTCAAGGCCCATTGTAAGCCTAAACTACTAAACTTAATCACTTCAAAATGGATCTCAAGAACCGTAAGCCCATATTACTTTATATACAAATAATCATGTTATATCTTGACTCATTTTCAACATCTCTAATAATTCTTAACTCGAACCCAATTATACATAATACCCATAATATGAGCCAAATGGTTCATACATGCATATATACAGATGTCTAAACCACCCACATAAGTAATTAGTTAACATACCCATAGTTACACCAAATTAGAATTACCATAATTCTACAATTGTGGAGTTTAATATCAAAAAGGATTAAATAAGTTCTTGTATATAACGCTCACAATTTAAATACTTACTAGAACTGGGAAATTTCTTTTTTAGCTCTGCAGCCAAGGAAACAGAGTTTTAGCCGAAACAAAGAAGAATCTACTTCCTGAAAAAGTTAAACAAAAGAAATATAAGTTTAACAATGAATAATTATTATTGTATAACACAGACATTCATACAAAATGTTTCCTAAAATACTAAAATGAACACTCACTCAATCAAACATATGGTACAATATCAGCACTCACATACAAGTACATCATCATATAATGAAACACGTAGAGATTGGTCTGTGGCATCACCGAAACCCCGATGAGCCATCATCAGACATGGCCCATCCTCTCATGACATGTGCACCAGGGAGCCGATCCCCAATAAATGGCCAACCGGTCTAATTCTCACTTAACCAACCTTCTCATTGTTTTTCCAGTTTCTCTTTTCTTTTCCATTACCAATAGGAGGCCACCCTGTGGTTTTTCCATATCATTGATATCATAATATACACACGGGAGCGCTGATCTCCTTATACATGGTCGACGGTATCGTAGACCACCCTCGCAAACCCAATGGTAACTCACTTCATCCTAATTCCACACAAACAAGACATATCAGCATCACAACACGTCTAATCAAACATTGCATTTAAATACAAGCACATTAGATAAATAAATATTGTTATGCAAACACATAAATATGCACATATATAATTAAGTATAAAGTAATGAATATTTATGCTATAAAAATAAATAATTACTAATTAAATAAATGTTTGTTTTCGCTTGTATTTGGTTGAGTGGGTTGCCAATCCATGATTTTATGTCTTGTGTTTTTTTTTTTTGGGTGGCCCCATCTTCTTCGTTTTGTTTTTTTGGGTTTTTGTTCAATAGACGATGGTCGACCAGGGGTGGTCTTCTTGGTAGCTGTTTCCTTTTGCGGTCATAAATGGCCAACCTGTTGTCGAATTCTCACTTACCAATGCAGCTTACGTCGAATTCGTTTATTTGTTTCGATCAGTTTTTCTTTTTCTTTTATCCATTTACCAAAGGTGTTTTCTGTCGGCTGCTTGTGGTGAGGGTCGTGTTTGTCTGCTTAATTTTTTTTCATCTTTTGTTATTATTCATTTGTTATGATATTATGTTCGGCAGTTGATGTCTAGTTTGGTTGGTGTTTGAGTGTTTTTGGTTTTTTGTGTTTTGTTGGTGGTTGTGGGTTGGATTCAGGTTGGGGTTCTTTTTTTTTTCCGGTTGTTTTGGGTTTTGTTTTTTTTTTTTTGGGTTTGCTTAGTGCGTTGGGGTGGTTTTGGATCTGGTGGGTTTTTGCGATTGGTTTAAGGGTCTGTTCTGGGAGCTGTGCGACGGAGTCGACTGATCTTCCTTATACAATGGTCTGACGGTTACTCCGGTGTAGTATCCACCCCTGTCCGCAACCAATGGTAACTCACATCACCCTAATCCCAACGATTTAAGACATAATCAGCATCAACGAACACGTCTAATCAAAACATTCGCGATTAAATACAGCCAGCACATTAAGATTATGAATAAATATTGTTATGCAAACAACATAAATGTGCCAACATATATAGTATTTAAGTTAATAATAGTCAAATTCGAATAATTTATGTATAGCAATGCAAGGTTAACGAAAAATAAAATAATTACTAATTAAGATAAAATAGGTAAATTAGGGCATATAGTGGTGAACACATAAATATGCACATATATAATTAAGTATAAAGTAATGAATATTTATGCTATAAAAATAAATAATTACTAATTAAATAAATAGGTAATTATGGCATTATGTGGTGATGTAACTATGCATGATGCAGATGGTAGTGCACTATTTATTAGTATTCACAGTGATAAAGCAGAGAGGAAGCTCTCTGATTTTGATTCACAGGAGCAGTGGACAAACTCGAACGATCTAATAAATTATAAATGCAAAGGAAAGAACTGAAACATATAAAGAGATTTATTTTAAATATATCAAATTAAAGAATTATACCAAACAAACCTATTAACTTATCCATTAAATATAACTAGCCTAAATTCTATTGAAATTTCGGCAGAAATCCCTAAAAATAGGACTTTCTACCTGTTAAGATAATGTCAAATACTCTCTCTATATATTCATTCAATTCACATAGTTCATCCATCGGACAATCAATCAAATCAAATGTCCATCCTCCTTTACATAACAATACCACCAATTAACGATTATCATTTATTACTCTTTACTCAACAACTCACTTTCAAAATCTTAAACTCAATATTTACCAAATCTACACCTAAGAAAAGATTAATCTCATAATTCAATATATTATTAAAATCTTTAACTAGCCATCATATATTTGTTCCCATCAAAATAAACACAAATAACTTGCAGTCTTACAGTCTCTAATCATATTACAATTTAGAAAGGTAAACAATTCGACAACCATTTAAACGATTCCAAAATTATATTATTCATCACATAAAAATTAACTAACAAATTCACCATTCGATAAGGTTTTTCATATATCGCATTTCTTCTCATGTCATCATTCTTAAAGTTAAAGTAATAGAATAATATGGAAGCAGCTATAACCATAGAAATCCCAAACTTATATTTAAACCCCATATTCTACTCACTATCTTGTTTCTTATTTCTTTTCTTTTCTTTTTTTTTTTTTTCAAGAATTTAATATACGATATCATTTCCTGCTTTATTAAGCAAAACTTAACGAAAATAGCTAAGGTTTTATTAAGCAAAACTCAACGAAAATAGCTAAGCTAGCTGCTGCCATACTAAGGGAAACTTAGATTTATGAGTAATTTCATTGCTACTTAACACGTTTCCCTATTTAAGAGCTTGATTGCAACCTCATATAATCATGTTAAAAGCTAGAGTTTAAGTGATTAACAAAAATACCTGCTGCCATTTAAGAATTATTCTCAATTCTCATCAAACTCGATCATTAGAACATCTATATTTGCAACAAATTATGAAAAGCATATGCATACCACCAATATAATCTTATTTCAAGCAAAACCATGATTTTCTCTGGTTAGAGGCTGCCACCCTTAACATACATTTTTCTGAGCTAGAACCACCTTAATCACACAAAAACACTTGCCAAAATATGTTTAACTATCATTAGTAATCAATTAAATTCTTTTTCTAAATAGGGATTTGATTTCTACATTAACTTAATTTATAAATCAAATCCTTCATTTTTTGATCAAAGACCTCAGAAATTATACTAAAGAGGTTCGGAAATAGACTTACTCAACAGTAGATCGCGTCAAAAATTGGAATTTCCCGTTAAAACAATCGACAATTACATTTATTCTCCAAACCGGTTACTGCCGCCGCTAGTTCGATTGAAAGCGAAGGAGATAGTGGCCAGAGAAGCTGCAAGTGAGAAGGTCAGATCACAATGTTGGCTACGGACAGGCATCGCCGGAAAAACAAAGGAACAGGGCTGTATCGCTACTGTCTCGATCCAAGCGCGACCGCAGTTCCTTGCGTTTGTTGTGCCAACCAGAAATGAAGAGAGAGAGAGAGAGAGAGAGAGAGAGAGAGAGATTAGAGCTATGCAATCGGCAGGAAGGAAGCTAGTGTCGCCAGAAAGACGGGGAGAGAAGACTGAGCTGTCGATCAAAATCGCAACTCCCTCTCTTGCCCGTGATGTTGAAATAGAAAGAAAGAGAACCGGAGACACGGTGGCGAGGAGGCGATGACAGCAGGAGGAGGTGGCGATGGCCAATGAATGGAAAATCGAAGAGAGATAGGAGAGGGGGATGTGTCAGTGCTGAAAGGAAGGAGAGGAAAATATGTTGGGCAAAACAGTAAATTTTTATTTTCTAGAGCTTTCTAGGTTGATTTAGATTCGATTAGAGTCCGATTTAGCCCAAATCATGCATTTTTGCTTGGTTTTCTTTTGGTTTATGGGTTTATAGATTTATTTAGTTTTTTAAAAAAGTAATGTTCTTTTACCTCATTAGCTAAATTTACTATTTAAGTTTTTAAATGAAAATTTTTTGAAATAAATTTTCCAAGTCGTTACGGTCTCCCCTTATAAAAATTTACCCTAGAATTTGGAGATAAACAAGGTGGGGAAAAATAGAACAAACAAAGAGTATATATGTGACACCTTAGGCAAATCCCACATCGGTTAAGCACAAGGTGGAAGTACTATACATAAAGGGTGGCAGTCTTGAACTTGTGTGAAGCCTTTTGGGCGGGTTGCAAAGCCTGCCTGAGAATAAAACCGTGAGGGGGGCGACGATATGTAACGCCCCAAAGCGGACAATATTACACAAGGGCTGTGCCACAAGTGTGGAATAAGATACTATACTCATAAAAGGGGTATGGCAGACTGGAAACTTGGATGTGAAGTCCTTGTATGCCGGCCTGGGTTTGCAAAGCCCCTGCTAGAATTAAAACAGTGAGGTGGGCGCGAACCGATATTGAGAGAGGCCCCATAAGCGGACAATATACACAAGGGCTGGACCCTTGTGACTAATAATAAGGGCGTATAAGAGGCAAAAGATTATGAGAAGTACATTTAGAGAAAGAAAATAAGTATTGCCTTTTGGGCGGGTTGCAAAGCCTGCCTGAGAATAAAACCGTGAGGGGGGCGACGATATGTAACGCCCCAAAGCGGACAATATTACACAAGGGCTGGACCCTTACAATATAAGGATGATAAAAGCAAGATTATAATACATTAGAAAGAAATAGGTTAAGTTCAATCACCATCAAGATAAGAGTATCTAAAAGTTTCTAATGGAATTGGTTCTTCTTCCTTGTGAAGAGGGAGAATGAAATGGAGATAAAGCTTTACGGTAGCCTAAATCCTAAGGCTAGCTCCCGAGATTCCATCCTATTTAAGACGGAATCTGATCTGATCAATTGCCACTATTGGTCATTGCTACTGAAATCCTTAGGAAATTTTCATGTTAAAATCCTTCAATAAAACCGTGTTTAAAAGGGAAATAATGATTTTTTTTTTCGGCACTACATTAAGATTTGTTTAAAAAGTTTAGTTCTTTTAGGCATTCCTCCGTGAGATGCCCTCCTTTAACGAAATGTAAAAGAAAACATTGGTAATGTCAAAAAGACCTTTTCTTTAATTTATCCAAAACATATATATTTTATGAAAACAAAACACATACTTATGGAGACCAAACATATATTTTGTAAAAAGTAAAGACACTTGAAATTCAATTTGTTTATAATAACAATCTAAATTTATTTAATTCACAGATGTTATTTCTAAAACGTCTACTCAATTAAAAGTTTGAAAACTATTATTTTAATCCAAAATTTCAACAAAAAATTTCCTTTGCAACTTTCATTGTCTATAGTATCGCGGGGCGATTTGAGTTCACTATCTTGATTCTTATCTACATAAGTTCAATTCCCCATATTAATATCCTTGCTATTCGTTAGTTCGGCCATTCGATAGCTCTTAAACTAAAAGTCATCACTGCATCACATAGTTGTCTCACTTCTATAGAGATTTTGACACTTTCTACTTAACAATCAATCTCTCTCTAATACTTAATTTCTTAAGTTATCCTAAAGCTTATTATCAAAATTGACATTCATAACCTTTCAGCTTGTGACCTAACTCCTTTGTAATAACCTTCCATTCCTCCTATGTTGCTTATTAAACCATTCATAAAGATATTAGATTATCAGTATTAATTATTTTATTTACTTATCTCCCTTTCTACTACTTAACCTTGTTGATCATTGTCTATTTAACCATCAGTATTCCAACCTAATATTTAATATTTACCCTAAATATTCACCTTGTACCTATTACCCTTCAATTCAAAGATCTACAATAAAATTGCTTAAGTCATAGCCTTAAAACTGCCTCTTTTTATATATTTATGGCATATCATAATCTATTTTACCGTCCAAATATTCCATCAAGTCAATCTCAATAACTCCTTATTATCTAACTTATGTCATCTACTATTAAACTCTCACTTTCCTGCCCATACCCTCGATTAAAATTTTCGAATTAACCACTCCATAGTTCTAGCATTTTAATTAAAATCTTGATTAACTCAACTGTAGTCCATCAATCCTCTCTTATTTGAGTTTAGACAGGTATTTGTCGCTTTGATTTTATTTGCCACTTGCTCCTACAATATATACATTCAAGCTTGAATTATAAATCATTCCCTAGACCCTTAACTATTCAAGTTCCTTCCTAAGGTTATCTTTCGATTGTAAGTGTTTAAGACTCTTATACTCTAAATATAGTTGCAACTTATCTTCTATTTTAAACTTGTCTTCTCAAACCTTTCCAGTATTTTTGTTCTTAACTTAGCATTAAACTCCAACTATATGTATACATGTTACCATTATTATTATCATTATCATTATTACCATTTATCTTACTCTTCTTCTCCAAATTTTCCTTTAAGTTCTAACTACACTTGTAATCATTTCATTTAATTATCTCATTCAATCGACCCCGCGATATATATAGACAACTTTTCAAAAACAATTATCTCATACAATTATATAATGTATTTCTTTATAAATAGAAAAAATTTCAAATTATTCGTCGTAAGGTAGTTCCAATCAAGTTGGGGTTTCAAATTCAAAGAGCAAGTAAATGCAATAGTAAAAAAAAAAGTTTATATTTATGTAATATTTAAGAGATTTCAGTTTACAATAAAATCATTCGCCCTCTTAATCTAAAGTCTTAGACATGCAATAAGAAAATTCAAGCTTTTCCGCTTACAATTTATCTCTATGTCTAACTCCAAAAAAACCATAATCAAATACATAACTATTTCAATTTGGTGATAACTCACATGTAAATAACTTAGTAATCTGTTGTAGTTACTAATGCTATATATATATTCCTATTCTTTAACCCGCCATAAGAAATGAAACTTCATATCCATACCATAACATAATTCTACTCGCTAATAGGAATAGATTTCACATATAAAGTAGTGCACTGGTTGATCAGACCAATCCACCACCATCCAAGTGTTTCTCAATTCCCAGGTCCAGTAGATGGTGCCTACTTTAGCATCTGCAACTATTATGATAAGCTATCTTCCGTTCACTAATTCCACCTAGATCCTTAGTTCTCTCTTCTTTTTTTTTTTTTTTTCTTGATCTCTTTTTTTTTTTTTTTTTCTTGACTACTAACTTACAAAATAGATATGGGTTTTCCCTCCTCACAGGGTTTAGTGTGTCCACTAGACTTAAAGAGGAAAATCACCAAGTTTCTTTCCTTTATATGTAGGTTACGGCTGATCCCAACATAAAGAAATTCTTCGTCCATGCTTACCCTAAAATGATTGAAATAACCTTCATCTTGTTCAATTTAATCATTTGGGCCAACTCCTAATAACAATCTTCAAACCCATCTTACCTTCTAAATACAAGAAATAACACACACTCTGTGAGATTAAGATTTATTCTAATCATAATAATGGAAAAAATGCTAAAGTAATAGGCAAAGAAAACTGAGAATGACAAGACGAAACCCTTATACTCTGTAGTTGTGTCCTAAAATTCTAACCTAAGCTCTGATACCAACTTTGTCACGATCCAAAACCATGGGCCGAACCCAAGTAAGCATAAGACCCCCAAAACCCGTAATAAGCCTGAATCACTAAACTTAATCACTTCAAAATGGATCTCAAGAACCGTAAGCCTATATTACTTTATATACAAATAATCATGTTATATCTTGACCTGTTTCCAACATCTCTAATAATTCTTAACTCGAGCCCAATTATACATAATACCCATAATATGGGCCAAATGGTTCATACAAGCACATATACAGATGTCTAAACCACCCATATAAGTTATTAGTTAACATACTCATAGTTACACCCGATTAGAATTACCATAATCCTACAACTGCAGAGTTCAATATCAAATAGGAATAAATAAGTTCTTGTACATAACGCTCACAATTTAAATAATTACTGAAATTAGAAAATTTCTTTTCTAACTCTACGGTGAAGGAAACAGAGTTTTAGCGAAGACAAAGAAGAATCTACTTCCTGGAAAAGTTAAACAAAAGAAATATGAGTTTAATAATGAATAATAATTATTGCGTAACACAGGAATTCACACGAAATGTTCTCTAAAATACTAAAATGAACACTCATTCAATCAAACACATGGCACAGCATCAGCACCCACATACAAGTATACCTTCATATAATCAAACACGTGAAGATTTGTCTGTGGCGTCATTGAAACCTCGTATAAGCCATCCTCCCACATGGCCCATCCTCTCATAACGTGTGCACCAGCCGATCCGTCATACATGGACGGCCGGTTTAATCCTTATTTGACCAGCCCTCTCATTGTTTTTTCATTCTCTCTTTTCTTTTCCATTACCAACAGGAGGCCAACCTATGATTTTTCCATATCATTCATATTATTAGATGCACACAGGGGTGCCGATCTCCCCATACATAGCCGATGGTATCATAGACTGCTCTCAGAAATCCAATGGTGACCCACTTCATCCCAATTCTACACAAACAAGGCATATCATCATCACAACACATCTAATCAAATATTGCATTTAAATGCAAGCACATTAAATAAACAAATATTGTTATGCAAACACATAAATATGCACATATATAATTAAGCATAAAGTAATGAATATTTATGCTATAAAAATAAATAATTACTGATTAAATAAATAGGTAATTGTAGCATTATATGGTAATGAAAGTATGCTTGATGTAGATGGTAGTGCACTATGTATTAGTATTCACAGTGATGAAGAAGAGAGGAAGCTCTCTGATTTTGATTCGCATGAGCAATG